TGAATGCCAAATTTCAACAATTTATACCGAACAGGTTTTGAGTTACACATTTTTAAAGCTGGGCACGGTTTTGGGGACGGACTGTATAATTGAGTTGTCAAATATAGACAACTGGTAATCTGGTAATCTGGTAATCCTAGTTTCAGCTTCATAGCAAACGGGTCACCCCATAGTTGCTCCGCTCCTGTGCCAACGAAAAACACACGTAGCTCACAGTGTCACGCCATGCACTCAACTCAGAAGCTGGGCGACGAAACTATATCCTTCCAGTCTACAAATGGAGCAAAAATGCAACTGCCACCGTCTGGCAGAAAAAAAATGTGGCTGTGCCTAGCGTCGCGTCCATTTTGACCTGAAGCATTATATGAGGGTTAATAAACGGTCACCCCTGCAGTACCCTCATTATTAGCTGGGGAAGGGACTTGGCACATTACATCCACCAGCAGGCGTCGCCCCTACAACGACCTGCCTACCTTCGTTAACGACTGTTCACCCAACAGCCATGCAGTTCTTTGGCACGAAGGAGACACCTTGAACTTGGGTTTTGGACTGGCGACTACCTACAAGATGTTATTTCATGTTTTGTTATCACAATTGATGTCACTGCACATTGGGAATACCCATGCGTGCTCAGTTCTGCGAAGCAGCAGCCACTCCAAAGTACTTCTACTAATTGTCCCCATGAGAAGCTGGTTATATCGTCTCCTTTCTCGGCCCCGAAGATGGCAAAGACGTGCATCACCATGCTTAACTCTCATGTCACGCAATCGTGTTAGTGTCAGTGACTCCTTATTCTCCAATAGCCCAGTTCGTACAGCGTTGACGATATCTGCTCTGTCCATGCTTTTTCCCGCAATCATTAGTGCAGTGCTTGCCAGCTGGTCCGCTCGCTCATTTCCCTTTACGCCCGCATGACCCGGTGTGTAGATCCAGGTAACGGAGGTTAAGTGCGATTTCCGAATGCTTTCTATCCTTTCAGAGCGCATACTGCCTGTTGCTATCTTCTGAAGCATATTCATTGAGTCTGAGACAATTACTACCTGTGTGGTGGTTTGCTCGGATACCCATGCTAAAGCTCTAGAAGCAGAGGTTATTTCCATTGTCATGCTTGACGTGGTTGTCTGGTAAGCGCCGCTGTCCTCATGTATTGTTTTCCCCATTCTTTGCGCTGTGTATGCCCATGCTGACCTTGATCCGCGCTTCACGGATCCATCCGTGTAGATGATATCTTCTGGGTCTGAATGCTGATCTATCAGTTGCCTTACTTCTGTGACTACGGCCGCAGGAATTTGATCCCCGCAGTACCTTCCGAGTGTGATGACAACCTTAGAGATGCCATGCATGTCTACTGATGTATTCGTCCATTCTTTTCCGTGATTGATAACGTCTATGTCACATACCTGCTGGATTAAATCCTCAGCCTTTGCCATCCAAGAGCGGCCTCTTTTGAGACGCGTTCCTTTTGTGTCGTGTATAGCTTTGTGCAATGGGTGGTTAACGTCTGCCGATACCCTCATGTAAGCCTTGGACTTTCTGTGTGCATCTGTCTCTTATATTAGTAACTAATGGGGTTGTATAAAATCATTTATATAATGCACATTAAAAGCAGTTAGATGAAATAAATAAAAATTTACCTCTATTTTGGCGACCTGGACCTGGTTGAGCTTCATCAGGTTTAACTTTTGCTAAAAATCTGCCCACCAAAGAACTTTGCTTCCGCCTTCTCCCCCAGGATGTTTAAGAAATGTGATACTGTCTGGTAATTCCAGAAAAGGCTATTACGACATGTTTGGGCTTCGCTGGTGTAATGCTTCTCTGCAAAGGCATTGACATTTATCCATTTGGCAAAAATTTCCTTGATTAATAAGAGAAGTAAAAAAGGATAGTGCGCGGTGTCATGACTCATTTCGACCCACATAAATTATAGTAAGCGGGACGTATTCCAAACAAAGTTCGTACATGAAGCAAGGGTTTTAGCGTCTAAACATGACTATACTAAGTTGAACTTAAACCAGATCGAACGGATACCAAGGCTACACAGTATTTCCTTACTTACGACATGTTTCTCTGTTCCACCATTTCAGTTGATATGCCCCAATAGTATGTTTGTCTTTCTCTTAGAGTTATCCAGTGCAAGATCTTGTCCGTGACCCGACGGTCTCGTCTTGTCTTACCTGCATCTCTCAGACTCCCATGGCTCGGATTCTTCTCTCTCTATGATATTCTCAGGATCTTCTTTGTCCATGATATCCCCATGTTCTTCAGTGTCCATGATATTCTCAATGTTCTTCTGTGTCCATGATATTCTCAGGTTTTTCTGTGTCCATGATATCCTCAGGTTCTTCTCTGTCCATGATATTCTCAATGTTCTTCTCTGTCCATGATATTCTCAATGTTCTTCTCTGTCCTTGATATTCTCAATGTTCTTCTGTGTCCCTGATATTCTCAATGTTCTTCTGTGTCCATGATATTCTCAATGTTCTTCTGTGTCCATGATATTCTCAATGTTCTTCTGTGTCCCTGATATTCTCAAAGTTCTTCTGTATCCATGATATTCTCAATGTTCTTCTGTGTCCATGATATTCTCAAAGTTCTTCTGTGTCCATAATATTCTCAATGTTTTTCTGTGTCCATGATATTCTCAATGTTCTTCTGTGTCCGTGATGTTCTCAATATTCTTCTGTGTCCATGATATTCTCAATGTTCTTCTGTATCCATGATATTTTCAATGTTCTTCTGTGTCCATGATATTCTCAATGTTCTTCTGTGTCCATGATATTCTCAATGTTCTTCTGTATCCATGATATTCTCAATGTTCTTCTGTGTCCATGATGTTCTCAATGTTCTTCGGTGTCCATGATATTCTCAATGTTCTTCTGTGTCCATGATATTCTCAATGTTCTTCTATGTCCATGATATTCTCAATGTTCTTCTGCATCCATGATATTCTCAATGTTCTTCTGTGTCTATGATATTCTCAATGTTCTTCTGTGTCCATGATATTCTTAATGTTCTTCTGTGTCCATGATATCCTCAGGTTCTTCTGCATTCATGATATTCTCACTGTTCTTCTGTGTCCATGATATTCTTAATGTTCTTCTGTATCCATGATATTCTCAATGTTCTTCTGCATCCATGATATTCTCAATGTTCTTCTGTTTCCATGATATTCTCAATGTTCTTCTGTGTCCATGATGTTCTCAACGTTCTACTGTGTCCATGATATTCTCAATGTTCTTCTCTGTCGCTGATATTCTCAATGTTCTTCTGTGTCCATGATATTCTCAATGTTCTCCTGTGTCCATGATATTCTCAATGTTCTTCTGTGTCCATGATATTCTCAATGTTCTTCTGTATCCATGATGTTCTCAATGTTCTTCTGTGTCCATGATGTTCTCAATGTTCTTCTGTGTCCATGATGTTCTCAATGTTCTTCTCTGTCGCTGATATTCTCAATGTTCTTCTGTGTCCATGATATTCTCAAGGTTCTTCTGTATCCATGATATTCTCAATGTTCTTCTGTGTCCATGATATTCTCAATGTTCTTCTGTGTCCATGATATTCTCAAAGTTCTTCTGTATCCATGATATTCTCAATGTTCTTCTGTGTCCATGATATTCTCAATATTCTTCTGTATCCATGATATTCTCAATGTTCTTCTGTATCCATGATATTCTCAATGTTCTTCTGTGTCCATGATATTCTCAAGGTTCTTCTGTATCCATGATATTCTCAATGTTCTTCTGTATCCATGATATTCTCAATATTCTTCTGTGTCCTTGATATTCTCAATGTTCTTCTCTGTCCTTGATATTCTCAATGTTCTTCTGTGTCCATGATATTCTCAATGTTCTTCTCTGTCACTGATATTCTCAATGTTCTTCTCTGTCCCTGATATTCTCAATGTTCTTCTGTGTCCATGATATTCTCAATGGTCTTCTGTGTCCATGATATTCTCAATGGTCTTCTGTGTCCATGATATTCTCAATGTTCTTCTGTGTCCATGATATTCTCAATGGTCTTCTGTGTCCATGATATTCTCAATGTTCTTCTGTGTCCCTGATATTCTCAATGTTAGTAATTTATCGTTATTTTTTATCATTAACATTGTCGACATTTATCTTTGTCAGTGATATAGTCTACGTTTTTCTTCTCCGTCTTTTTTTTTTTTTTTTTTCATGATTTAAGACTATAATATAGTCAGTGTGGTGTTTCTGTCTGTGATATTGTCAAAATTCTTCTACGATGTTGTTTAAATCTTACGTGTCCATGATATAATCAACATTCTTTTCCGTCTGCCATATTGTTCACATCCGTTTATGTCTTTATGGTAGACCACTCACCAGTGTGCCATCTTGGGTCAAGGAGAACCAGGAAAAAAAAAAAACCGGCCACTTCCGTTTTTTGCTTGATCGCTGGGAACTAATATGTCTGACGTTCTGGCAGGGACGGGGATCAAACTCACAAGCCTTCTGGCTTTTCCTCCCTTATTTCTGGCCCGGATTACAGACAGTCGTTGCACGTGCTATTGGCTCACAGAAAGAGTCTGGGGCATGAGCAAGCCGGACAAAAGGGGACCTCACGAGAGTGGACAAAAATGAGCAGATGAAAACTTGTTGAATTAGCAACATGTGATGTTTTCTGCCTGAAACCGGACAAGATGGAAGAAAGAACGGTCAGGAGAGAGGGAGCTAGCGATATTAATGTGGACATGCACGATTGTGTGTATGTATGGTCAGCCCAGGCTGTGTGTATGTATGGTCAGCTTACTTTTGTGTGTATATATGGTCAGCCCAGGCTTGTGTGTTTGCATGGTCAGCCCAGGCTTGTGTGTTTGTATGGTCAGCCCAGGCCTGTGTGTATGTATGGTCAGCCCAAGGCTGTGTGTATGTATGATCAGCCCAGGCCTGTGTGTATATATGGTCAGCCCAGGCTTGTGTGTATGTATGGTCAGCCCTAACTTGTGTGTATGTATGGTCAGCCCAGGCCTGTGTGTATGTATGGTCAGCCCAGTGCTGTGTATATGTATGGTTAGCCCTGGGTTGTGTGTATGTATGATCAGCCCAGTGCTGTGTGTATGTATGATCAGCCCAGGCCTGTGTGTATGTATGATCAGCCCAGGCCTGTGTGTATGTATGATCAGCCCAGTGCTGTGTGTATGTATGATTAGCCCAGGCTTGTGTGTATGTATGGTCAGCCCAGGCCTGTGTGTATGTATGATCAGCCCAAGCCTGTGTGTGTTTATGGTCAGCCCAGGCCTGTGTGTATGTATGGTCAGCCCAGGCCTGTGTGTATGTATGGTCAGCCCAGACTTGTGTGTATGTATGATCAGCCCAGGCTTGTGTGTATGTATGATCAGCCCAGGGTTGTGTGTTTGTATGGTAAGCCCAGGCCTGTGTGTATGTATGGTCAGCCCAGGCTTGTGTATATGTATGATCAGCCCAGACTTGTGTGTATGTATGGTCAGCCCAGACTTCTGTGTATGTATGGTCAGCCCTGGGTTGTGTGTATGTATGGTCAGCCCTGGCTTGTATGTATGTATGGTCAGCTCAGACTTGTGTGTGTATATATATGGTCAGCCCAGACCTGTGTCCAGTGCTGGCCCTGTGGCTCGTGTGATCGCCTTTAGGCTCCTTCCGGGCCAGATTTAGACTTGATGAGGCCTCAATATAAATAAAGCACTAAGGCCCATATCTGTTTTGGATTAGACCAGCTGTCTTATCAAGTTAGAATGAAAACAGCCTGATATAATATACCCAAAATAATGTTTATACATTTATGGCATTTGTGTGGGGCAAAATTAGGGGGTAAGTAAAGTAAAGGACCCTTTTCCACGCTTTTAGGCGTATAGGGCAAGACCTTTATTTTATAGACCAACGGCACAAGATGGGTGATGCGGTCAGCATCACGCCGGCTGCCTCTACTTTCCGGAACTGCACCCAGTACCCACTCAGTGCTGGGTCGACCTGGGAGCCAAGGTCATTTTTGAAGAAAAGTCCGGCTCCGCAAGCGAATCCACGACCTGCCGATCCTCGGCGATGTACAAAAAAGGGGGTGGATGGGTTAAATATTTTACAAGAAAACCGCATTAAAGATATTTTAAGAGACAAATTGCATTACAGAAACAAAAACTGTCAGAACCCTGCAGACTGCGAGGCCCTAAGATTTAGCTTAGTTATTCTATGCTTAAATCCAATAGAAGTCTTGTATTCAAATCCATTTCAGTGTAAGGATTTGTGTCAACGTTTAGTCTGATAATGGAGGTGGAGGCGGTCATTGCTGCATCCCGCTGGATTGAGAATCAGCTGTACACACGTGTCATTGTCACTGACTCACAGAGTATTTGAGAAAGGTGGTTTAATTTATATAACGGATCAACAACCTGGCACAAGAGTAGTAATCCATAAGTGGTCCATTCTACTTCTAACTCAAGCCGAGTCCACAGAATCTCAGCGCAATGTACGAACTCATTAGCACCGGCGAGGATCCTGAAATACTTTGGGTAGATTTTTAAGTCAAACATTTGCCCGAGCAGTGTCATTAGGCTACTCTTTTCGATTTTAACTGCCAAGAGATTGGGGGGGGGGGGGGTTTAACCTGCGCAACAATACACACTGGCGTCCGATCTTTCTACCCAGAGACTAAGGAAAATTACTAGAACTCCATGTGAAAAAACCCCAGCTTTCACCTGAACGCTGGACCTCCAGCACTGGAGGCAAACGCGATGCCTTGAGACCACTCAGCCCCTTCAGAGGTAAAGACAGGCATGCTCAGTGCAGAGTGGCAAGCATCGCTTCAGAGGTCCAGGGTAGTAAGCATCCTTTAGACATTTTCTCCAGGTCATGCTGGTTTGTTGTGAAATTAGTAGGCAGATAGACTGGATTTTTTTTTTACCTAGCTTCCCACGTCGATCTAGTCTAACAATGAGAATTGGGAAATGTTCGGCTAAATAAAGGTGGTCGATTTGATATTAACGTCACTCATTGAGGGCTAATTGGTCTGTAGACATACTGGGCTACCACCACAATGGAAGTCGCGCTACTGTAACCGTCCTCAACTTTTAAGGGCCGAATTCTCACATAATCGGATTTGTTCGAATTCATTAAGAATAACCAGGCTCAACCCAGACTAAAATGGGCACCAGATAACGGACTGAGCGAACGACTGTATTACACGCACACAGACTGTACGTGAATGCATGAATTTTACACACATACTGCGCAATCAAACATACTGTGTTTTCCCCTCCTTGTCTGTCCTTCCAGTCTCCAACTGAGCAGATGGTTTCTGGTCACTTGCCAGTTTGTAATACAATTGTCCGGTTACGTTTTCACGTCAGGGAATTTCCACTTACTGAACTGGCAACCAGCAGTTGGCTAACAACACTGACGAAACCTGGCTGCTTCACATTGGAATGCCAGAGAAAGGAAAAACGTTGGAGCCTTCGAAGTAATGAGTAAAGGCACATGCCTTTGTTGACTAACAGTCCACGCTGTGTGGTGTTGTCGGTCGTTCTGACTGTTCCGCAACCTTCTGTCTAGTGTAGTCAGAAATGTATAATACATATTTACTTCCGTGTCATCGTCTCTCTCTCTCTCTCTCTCTCTCTCTCTCTCTCTCTCTCTCTCTCTCTCTCTCATTAATTACTCTTTCTCACTGTTTCTCCCATCACACTTTTACTCTCTCAGTATCTCACCCTCTTACACTCTCTTTTTTCCTCTCACTCTTTCTCCCTCTATTTCTTTCTTTCTATCACCCTCTTTCCCCGTTTTCCTCGTCGGTCGGTCGGTGGGAAAGGAGGGGGGGGGGTGTCGGTCGGTGTGTATGCATGCATGCATGCATGCGTGTGTGTGTGTGCGCGCGCGCGTACACGTACGTGACAGTAGTCAGATTTCCGTGTGGGCCGCTTTCTACAGAGACCTTAATCTGTCCACCATGTTTTCACATGTTTCCCACCACCTCTTATCTTCATCGTCCAGGTTGCTGTCCCACCATGTTTTCACGCCACCACCTCTTATCTTCATCGTCCAGGTTGCTGTCCCACCATGTTTTCACGCCACCACCTCTTATCTTCATCGTCCAGGTTGCTGTCCCACCATGTTTTCACGCCACCACCTCTTATCTTCATCGTCCAGGTTGCTGTCCCACCATGTTTTCACGCCACCACCTCTTATCTTCATCGTCCAGGTTGCTGTCCCATCATGTTTTCACGCCACCACCTCTTATCTTCATCGTCCAGGTTGCTGTCCCACCATGTTTTCACGCCACCACCTCTTATCTTCATCGCCCAGGTTGCTGTCAGCAAGATAGAGTTCTACTTCGAGGACGTGGAAGGAAATCTGGTGCCTGTTCGAGATCTCATCACAGATGACCTTGTGACCAGATTGAGTAAGCACGTGCCTGACCTTGGACTCAAACAAGTCACAGAGGAGGTGAGATTTGTGTATGGCTGAGTCTTTTTCTGGCGATTGTGTGTGTGTGTGTGTATGTATGTGTGTGTTTGTGTATGTGTGTGTGTGTGTGTGTGGAAAAAAAGGGGGGGGGGGTGTCATTTTCTAGCTATTTATTTTTGAATATGTTATTTATTGTCTAGCGATTTATTTGTGAAAATGTTTTTTTTCTAGGAATTATATGTTGATGCGCCATTTTCTAGGAATTTTATGTGGCTGTGCCATTTTCTAATACCTTTTTTGTGAATGTTTCATTTAGATTTAGTTTCGGGTGTAGTTTTCTGGCGATTTTTCTTGTTGTTTTGAATATGCCATTTTCTAGCGATTTGTATGAGGATGTATCATTGTTTGGTTTTCATTTTTCTTTTCTCCAACCGCCTCTCCTAGTGGGTGGCGACTGGCGGCGACACACTGTTGTGGAAAACTATGAGTTCTACAATCTAATACTACTGCTACTGCAACTACTGCTGCTGCTGCTACTGCTACTGGTACAACCACTGTTACTGCTGGTGCAACTGCCACTGTTACAATTACTTCATAACTGTTAAACGTTTAATGCTACATTTACATTAACAACTGGGAATTAACTATTAACTGCTATAGTACTGCTGCTGAGCGGTTTGGCACTTTAATCTTGTTTTTTTTTTTAACCTTTACTGTTATAACTACTATTACTAATACTCATCACACCACCACCACTACTACTACTACTACTACTACTACTACTACTACTACTACTACTACTACTACTACTACTACTACTACTACTACTACTACTACTACCACTACCACTACCACTACCACTACTACTACTACCACTACCACTACCGCTACCGCTGCCGCTGCCGCTGCCGCTGCCGCTGCCGCTGCCGCTGCCGCTGCCGCTGCCGCTACCGCTACCGCTCCTCCTCCTACTACTACTACTACTACTACTACTACTACTACTGCTACTGCTACTGCTACTGCTGCTGCTGCTGCTGCTGCTGCTGCTGCTGCTGCTGCTGCTGCTGGTTATAAAATACAACTAATAGCCGAGGCCATCTTCATCTAGCGCCACCTGGGAGCCGAGATCAATGACAACACCTCCATCTCGGCGACATTTCGAACTTATGACCCCTGCTCTTGCAGACAAGCACGCTAACAACTCGACCACAACGTCTTTGGAACTAAACGACAGCACATTTGTGTCTACATACTCAGAAGAAATCAGCCAATGCTCAGATTTGTGTGTGTGTGTTTTTTAACCTCCATGCATTCATCAGTTTTTATAAGGAGTAGAAAATTATAGGGAAGAGAAAAAGTTGGTAAGAAACAACAATTAGTTTATGTTAGCTTTACAAAATCGATCACAATAAACAAAGGACGTTGCGGCGATTAGCCTTCATCAGCACATAAAGGACAACACAGTACACATACACAAATAGGCTCTAACTATGAAGTGACTACATAGGACTCTAATGTATAAAATTAACGATACTCATCTAGTCTCCCTGGCGAAAAAACTTCGTTCAAATGAAACGACGGTCAGCCTATATACCTCCAACGCGCAGGTAGGGGCAAAAAAAGGGACGGGCTGGACGCCAACAGCGTACACTAAGTGTCTAAGGAGGGAGGGAGGGGTTGACCTATAGGGCGCGTAACCGGGGTTTGGGTTGTGGGGATGACCTTAGTCCACCCGCGTGGAATAAAAGTGGTGCCTGTGCTTGCGATAGATAGATAGATAGATAGATAGATAGATAGATAGATAGATAGATAGATAGATAGAGATAGATAGATAGATAGATAGATAGATAGATAGATAGATAGATTAGATTAGATTTAGATTAGATTAGATTAGATTAGATTAGATTAGATTAGATTAGATTAGATTAGATTAGATAAGATAAGATAAGATAAGATAAGATAAGATAAGATAAGATAAGATAAGATAAGATAAGATAAGATAAGATAAGATAAGATAAGATAAGATAAGATAAGATAAGATAAGATAAGATAAGATAAGATACGATAGATAGATAGATAGATAGATAGATAGATAGATAGATAGATAGATAGATAGATAGATAGATAGATAGATAGATAGATAGATAGATAGATAGATAGATAGATAGATAGATAGATAGATAGATAGATAGATAGATAGATAGATAGATAGATAGATAGATAGATAGATAGATAGATAGATAGATAGATAGATAGAT